AGAGAAGGGGACCTCCTTCTTGGTTAGGTCTAGGAGAGGGCGTGCGATGTCGGAATAGTGGGGAATGAAATGACGGTAGAAGTTGCAGAATCCCAGGAAAGACCACACGTCCTTGACCGAAGAGGGTTGTTGCCATTCGCTGATGCCTTTCAGCTTGGCAGTGTCCATAGTGACCTGTCCGGGTCGAATGATCATACCGAGGTACTTGACTTCTTGAGTGTCGAAGGTACATTTCTCGGGTTTGAGGAAGAGAGACTCTTTGCAGAGTTTCTCCAACACTCGGCGGGTCCTCTGCCAGTGTTCGTCCAGGTTATCTGAAAAGATTAGGATGTCGTCCATATAGACGATTAACCATCCTTCGTTCAATTCTTCTGAAAACGTCTGGTTCATGTAAGCTTGGAAGGTAGCGGGTGAATTGCACAATCCAAAGAACATTACCTTGGGCTCAAAGAGCCCATATGAGGTGGAGAACGCGGCTTTCCACCTATCGTCAGGATGAATGAGGATATTGTTGTATCCTGAGCGTACATCGACCTTTGTGAACCATTGCACCTTGTTGAGTTTCGCAAGCAAGGGTGGTATCAAAGGGAGTGGGTACGCGTTCTTGATCGTCCATTCGTTGATGTATCAATAGTCCTGGCAGGGGCGGAGAGATCCGTCCTTCTTGCCGACAAAGAAGAATCCAGTGGCTTGAGGAGACTTCGAGGGTTGGATGAAATCTTTGGCGAGGTGTTCGTCCAAAAATGCTTTGACAGTGTCGGTTTCCTTTGGCGAGAGCAGGTAGGCTCGAGAAGACTTCGGAATGAAGCCTTCCTTTGTTTCGATCTTGTGGTCTACTCCCGGTCGTGAGGGAGGGAGTTTGTTCAGACCATCCTTTGCGAAGATGTCAGCAAAATCATGAAGATAGGAAGGTACCAGTTCTTCAAATGATTTCTTCTTCTTCTCCTGCGCGTCCTCCATAGCAAATTCTTGAGCTTTGTTGGAGGTCTTCGTGTAGTCCTGCTGAGAAGCGAGGATCCAGAGGTTCCGGAGAGGTTTTGCTCGTCTATGGAGAGCCTTCCGGATTTCTTTCTTCGAGGTCCCGTCCTTGGTGAGCGGGGTGTCGAAAGAGATGTTCTCGATGATCCGGACGGATGATCCGTCTGAAGCATATTCCACTAGAACTTCATTGTCAGCGAGGGGATAAGTGGAGATCTCCTCAACTTTATCCGTGAGATGGGTCTGTCCGACCCAGACATCGTCCATGGTGTTGAAGTCGGTGTCTTCAAAGGGCACGATGATTGGCGCCGTCTTCTTCTTGTTACGCTTCTTGCGTTTCTTGATTTCTTCGAGGCAATGTTGGGTGCCTTCGGGGAGTCGTTTGAGGGGTGAAAAATCCTCGTCGTCGAGTTCTTCTAGGACAGCCTTTTCTCCACGAAAGAGATATGGCTTGGCCTTGCTTTCTCGTCGAGAAGCGTTGAGTTCCCTCTCCACCTCCTTTGACCTATTGGTCACAGGCAGGGAGATCGTGTTGGCCTTCCAGTCGATATTGGGCATCATGGCACTAAGCCAAGGTTTTCCAAAAAGTAGATCATCATGCTTGGAAAGTTTCGTTACGTTGAACTTTCCATACATAAGTCTCCGATCGAGACGAATGAATAGCATGCAGTATTGGGTTACCTGTCCTGCCGAGGACGGGCTCCCGTCTACTGTGGTGATCCGGAAGGGTTTCTTGAGTAGGTGGGTCCGGATCCCATTTCGCTTGACAAAGTCATAGCTAATGAAGGTCCCACCTGCCCCTGAGTCGATGATGGCGGTCGACTGAACGGTTTTGGCACTGCAAGAAGAGAAAAGTGTCACCGGGACATGAAACTCATTGGATTTACCAACAGCTTTAGTATACAATGCGCAGATAGAGGGAATTGACCATTCGACAAGCCCTCTCTTTAAAAATCCTTTCTTTTGACAAGGTTGACTTCCATGTCTTCCTCGTCAGAAGACTCATCAAGCTGGCGGACGCCAGACTTGCTTGGCTTCTTGCCTTTGTCTTCTTCATTGTTCTTGTCTCCTCGGCGCACCTTCGGGTGGAACCGGGAGTCGTTTGCTCGATGGCCCTTCTCCTTGCATTTGAAGCAAAGGCCTTTATTGAAGCACTTCTGTTGTTCCTCAGGTGTGAGGGAATGATCGACGTCCATAGCATCAGGATCGCGTTGGCGGACCTGAGGCTTGGGGACGTGCTGGTGGCCGGAAGGGCGTACCGATCTGTTGTTTGACACAACTGCTCTTGATCGCTTGTAGTTGGCTTCCAACTGTGTCGCGGCAGTGTACCATTTGTCGATGGTGGTGGGGACGACCTCCTTCCCGTAGATGGCGGTTCGAAGTCCTGGTTTCAACCCTCGTTCGAAGAAGTGGATGAGGGCGACGTCCTGCTTGAGACTAGCAGTGGACGACAGGGTTTTGAACGTCGCGATGTAGGGCATCATGTCGCCGGTTTGACTCAAACCGTGAAGCTTGGTTAGAGCCTCGGTCATCCGGTCGATCGGGTGGAAGGATTCGATGAAAGCCTTCTTGAAGTCCTTCCAGGTACCGAAGTCGACGGTAGGTTTGTCGAAGGCTGTTCGGTAGAAGGTGTCGGCCCAGACGCGGGCGTCTCCATCATTCATATACTGGAGTGCAACAGCGACCTTGGTTTGGTCGGAGTTGTAGATCGTCGGGTTGATGAGGAAGTATGTCTCCACCGAGTACATCCAGCGCTCGGAATCATCGATGCTTCCATCATAGTTCTGTGGTACTCCAGCCTTTAGTTCAGGCCTGGATATGACCACTGTCGGTTGTTGGGTGGGGCCTCCGGACATTCTTGTTCCAGGGTTCGAGTTGAGGTTGCCATACGGTTGTTCGTCGGGAAACTCGTCGGAGGACGTGTGGTCTTCTTCCGATTCTTCTTCTTCGGAGTCTGGAGTGTTGGGATTGCGTTCCCAAGGGTACTTCGGGATCCAGGTAGTCGTGGTGTCTGTCGGTTAATGGGCCGTGCGGATGGCAGGGCGCAAAAAGGTAACTTGAATCTTTTGTTACGCACTCAAATAGATCTGTTATGCGGAGCCCTAAGAGGGGCGTTGTCCACTAACGTTTGTGACGTAACCGGAAGGGTCCGGTGTAGCGACTGAGACTGGCGACATTGAGTCGGCAGATATCAGAGACGCGCGTGTCACATGACTTCTAAGACGGATGTCTTCAAAGTCACTGACGTTCTCAAAGTAAGGACAGTCTTGTCCGAACGATGAGGTGGTCGATCGAGGTAGACTTAGGCGCGATGAGCACCTAAGAAAAGATACTAGAGACTGAAGCTGAGGGGGCTTCAGAGGGAAGTATGTTTGAGGGAAGATTGAGTAGATTCAAGTTAGGGAATCTAGTACAGAGTGACCGACTACTTGTACTAAGTGGAAAGGGTTAAGGGCAAGGCTACCGTACTGTAGGTAAGGGCAAAGGGGAAACAGAAAGGGTATAGGTACGCTGGTAGCAGAGCCTGATTAGTGATGTGAGGTCGAATGCGGAATGAGACCGAGAAACGTTGGAACGAGCCAATGGTAAATGATACAATGTGCAGCACGCATGAGTCAGAGGAAAGATAAGACAAGATAAGGAAAGCCACATTGGTGGCACGAGTCAGAACGAGTCATAGCCCGAAGGCACGTGCGCACGTTGGTGCGATAGGAGGGGGATGAGGGACAGGAACGGTCCTGAGGATCTGGTCAACGGATAGTCGGTAGAGAAGTACGAGCCGGAGGCATACGAGGGCGAGGACGAAGGGGAAAAATGATAGGGGGGCCATGTAGCCGATGTTACTTGTAACAGGCCCTCAAATGATGAAAGTTGGGCTTTGCAGGTCCACTGGATCCTGGAATGGACCTGGAGTGATGCAGATGTGACACCAGTGGGGACGGTGGTGTTGCATTTGATGAGGGCGGTCATGTCACCACTGGCAGTCTCAATACCAAGCGATAGAGGAATGACATCAAGAAGTAAGAGGTCCTGGGTCTTCTCAGAGGTGTTGCCGAAAAGAATGGCAGCCTGAATGGCAGCACCGTATGCAATGGCCTTGCCAGGGTTGATGCTCTTGTTGGGTTCCTTGTCGTTGAAGAAGTCAGACACAAGTTTGACAATATGGGGGATATACATGGAACTGCTGTAGAAACAACAATACAACGAGGAACAAAAGAGGCTCCTAGCTGTATCTATAAATGTTGTGAGGTCGCGCGTTGCCTAGTCTGCTATTCTTGAGACGACAAGTGTGTTCGATTCTAGGGGAAGCGAGTGCAGCAAGGATCTAGAAGTGTGTGCTGAAGCAAAGCACGAGAAAGCGCAGGTGCATGCAAGGTGCGGGAATACGCGCGCGTATGCAGAAATAATAGAGAAGTTAGACTCAAGTGCTAGTATGATGCAATATAAGAGAAGAGAGATGCAAAGTGTAGACAAATAGACTTCTACTATGTTCTGCTAAGTAAAATGGTGGGTGGTAACTAGTAAGTTAAAGGGAAAGTAAGTGAAAAGTAAGTGAAAAACCCCCTCTCGTAGTATGTACTGCTGGCACTTATATAGCGCACCTAAGCATGGTCATGCGGAGCCGAAGTGCTACTGAGTAGGTATGTAAAGATATATATAAGTAAGGGTCCATTATAAAAATAGAGGTGGAATGATATGCTAATAAAAGAAATGGAAATATACGCACTAGAGGGCTTGGTGGACAGTGGATGGATGCTTCTGGATGGCTGGGGCTATAGGGTGCTCAAGCATGGGAACGCGCGTGCGCGTATACATCATGAAGCACGGGAATGGTGCGCACATGGTGCGCATTGCGTGGGAAAGCTGCGCCTTGTATAGGGATAGCTGTGGGTAGCGCACAGAGTGACGCTACAAGTTTGTGCTATGCACTCCTTGGTGGAAACTGCCATGTCACGCCATGAGAGGCATGAGTCTCTACACCGCCAATAAGGACGATTTCATGAATGTTAGCCTTGTCAATCTTAGGAGTCCCAGAGGACCTTCTCGACAGGCTCGAGCATGCTGCGGAACAGGTCCATGCACAGCTCCTCGAAAAGGGCATGACTGAGGGGAGCAGTCAATCTCGATGGCAGTCTGGGTTGCTGATGAAAGGGTACGCTTGGCATGCTTGCAAGTGGTCTGTAGACAACGGAGAGCATGAGGGTTGGAAGAGAGATCTATTATGTTGTCAGCAGCCAAATTGATGAATAAAAAAATTACTTACCCTTCTTGTGCAAGGTGGTTGCTGAACGTTGCAATGATATCATTGGATTCCGAGTCTGTTTAAGTGACAACAGGGTGCAAGAAAATCAATACCTTGTCAATGAAATTTAAACATTGTGTGATAGCGTTTCAATGAATCTAAAGCGGGAGAGCAGGTTGAAGTGAGATTGCGATCAAATTGAAGTGAGGAGCATCTGATGTTAATTTGGTTGTCATGAAAAGTCAATGATGGAGCAAAGGTTTTCAAGCAACATTGGAATAGTGGGAGAGAAAAGGAGAAATGTTTAACTGAATTTGGGTACTATTTAAATTGGAGGCCGTGTCGGTATTTCAAAAATTTAAATGTGCCTGATCCCCTAGTACAATGTAAAATAGTGCTAAGAAGCAATAGAATGAGCCTAAGAGAAACATAATAAGTGCAGGAATGGAACACCGATTCGAAGGACGACAGGATAACATTGATGCAGAAACTATTTGCGAGACTGAGTTGTGTGAGAAACTGCAGCTTGCGGAGCTGCTTTCTTTCTGGACCCTCTAGTTTTTGTCCACCCTCGTGCGCTGACACTATCTCCAACATTCTGTGTGCTTTCCTCGACAACTTGTGCACCAACATCAGCAACCGGTGCATCACATATTACAATATCAGATGATGCTTCAGGTTGGGAATGATTGAAGTCGGGCCTTGCATCAATGGCACTTGGACTTTGGGTGGCAGAAACAATGGAAGGTGGATTATCAACCAAAAGAGCAGCAGATATTTGAGCTGAAGCATCAGATTCATGGTCCGATTCGCTGCTGTCCATATCCAGCGCCGCAAGTGCACGATTGATGGCACTCGCATGATCTTGTTTGGCTGATGGGTCAACAGAAGGTCCTTTCGCAGCCTCGAAGACATAATTGTTGATGTTGGCGACGATCAAGGTGACATGCCTGGTGGTCCATTTCGAAACAAGAACCTTCTTGTAGTTGTAAAACAAGGTCTTGTAATTGATGTTTGACTTCTTCCCGAGGCCTGAGCTCAAGAACTCAGTGTCTGGCAAGAGTAGAAATATTGCCTGTCGCAACAATACATGACAAATGACTGAGTCTCGAGGTGTAAATGACTGAAATGCTGACTTACAATAACTGCCGCCCATGCTATCGCTCCTGGCGTGATTTGATGAACACTCCATTTGAGAGCATTAGTATGCGTGCTGCCACCACTTGACCTGTGTTGGAGTGAGGTAACACCACGCAACGAAGCTTTGAGAACCTAAGTAATCATATTACATTCAGTAAGATAAAGCATCAACACAATAGTGATAAGACTTACCTGGGCTAGTAGCTCCCAGTTCCTGAACACTGTCTTCAGCGACGTATCTTCCTTCAACCTTGGAAACAAGATTGGCGGGAAAGTCTTGTATGTCTGGTTTGCAGCAGACGAAACACCAAGTAACTGTTGGATTTCGGGAATGGTGGCTCTCTCGAAGCTGGTGCTGGTGAAATACTTTGAGGGAAGGTTGAAAATATCACCAGCAACGCCACAAAGTTTCTTGATTTCATTGGCGCGAGCATCAGGAATACATTTCAGTACCTAATATTGCTGCATTAGTGATTCAACATGGTAACTCTAATAACAAGCTACATACCATATTGCTGAAATACGAGCTTTCCATTATCTTGTGCAACGATTCGTGAAAATGATGATAAAGCTCGTGTAAGAATGCAGAGTCCTGCATTGCCGCAGTCTTGTATCGGTCGGGGCTATCGAATGGAGTGGGAGCTTCCAGGAGTTTCTTGTTGAGAAGGTCGCTACTAGGAAACATCTCCATCATCATGCCATACTTACGGGCATAGATGGTGATAGTATCCTCATGAACGCTAAGTTCATGCTGTGTGTCCACATGCCGTTTTCGTTTTGGCTTCTCAGCATGCAAAGTCTTATTCTCCTCCTTGATGCTCTTGTTCTCGTCTTGAAGATGCTGCATTTGAACCTGCAGTGTTTTAAGCACCTGAAACAAATCAAGTTAGAAAGTAGCGCTAACAGACAGATCATATCTTACCTCTAGAAGCTCCCCTTTAGAAGCGCTGGGGGCTAGAATAGAGATATGAGTAGGATTGCCGCCCTGGCCATCAGAGTCACTGTCTGTGTCTGAGTGTGAGTGTGACTGCATGATGTGCGACATGTTTGCCAAACAGAAGGCTTTGGAGAAGAGTTTTGTTGAATGAGGGGGCGAGAATACACAATTAGTATCACTGCAACACTTTAAATGATACTGCGCTATCACCTCGTGTTTGCTCGACGTAATACTGCTTGCAGCAACTTTACATGTTCATAGATGTAACCGAAACCTTGTTATTATATCAAGACATATTGGTCAGTGATCCATCAGTTGTAAGCGTTGAAGTACCCACCATGAGTAATAAAACATGCGCGAATGTACACATATCAAGCACCGCCATCACAATGAAGGTATGGTCCCATTGGAATGATCCACCCTCCTTGAAATTTTGCTGGTCTCCTTGTTTAGGGATGAACACATGACATAATGTGAACACAAGTTCTTGTGAGCTAAATGAAGGTGAGGCATTATGTGACAATGACAGGCTGTGATTCAGGACTCACCCATCCATACACATGACATGGTGTGAACGCAAGTTCTTGCAAGCTAAACGAAGGTGAGGCATTATGTGACAATGACAGGCTGTGACGATCCAGAACTCACCCATCTGTGTTGTGCTTGTATATATTGTCCCTAATCGACAATGAATCATGTAGGACGGTACCAGACCTATCCGCATCATCCCTAGTATCACATAAATCAAATAGTTAGTAGCCAAGCAGCATAGATATCATAACGACGCCTAGTAGCTATGTATCAATACAAATCAGACATGTCAAAGAGATGCTACTCACCAGTCAAATGCGCACCACATGCCCTGCCTGCAGATGCATTTCCTTCACATGAAGGAACATATCTGTGTCAACTGTATCGACAACAAAGTAATCGAGGTTTTCGTCATGCACTAGAAGTGCCCCACGGATGATAGACCTGGTGGAGAAAAACTCTGCCTGTGCCCGCAGTTTTGCTCGAACTCTAAGAAGGTTAAGATGCTTGTCTTTTTGAAGTTGTACACCTATGGGAGCGTCATACGGGTGGATGAGAGCAAGTGGAAATACATTGTCTCCAACTGGGCACTCGAAAAGCAAGAGCAGGTGTCCAAAGATGACCTTTTGGTTGGTCTGGATGAACACGCAATCGAAACGTGGTGCATTAAAGAACTTTGGATTGCACCGAAGGTAATCGGTATATTGTTGCCAGTCCACCATTGACTCATAGTTGACATGCAACAGTCGACATGTCGTGATCTGTCTCGTGTGATTAGCGCGGTAAGGGCTACTACTAAATTGAACAAACTTACTGTGTGAGTTGATAAGAGATGGATTCTCTTCCCATCTGGTAGGGGTATGTTGCTTGCAGGTAGAAATACATTTAAAAATGAGTTCAGCTTAACATGGAAGTTGGAAAACGCGATGTCATCCTTGTGGGAATTCTCAATGAGACCAAAGGTCTGTGGAGCTTCCCTCGACCCGAATTTCACATGCATAGACCCATCCAAAGGGTCAAAAACATGTCTTATGGGGTTCGTCAATACCTTGGAGTCAGGATCATCTTCGTCGGCATCTTTGTCGATGTTGTTTGCTTGGTGTTGTGATATTACATATTCATCCAAGTTAAAGATTTGACAACGGATATCATCCGCAATGAGTAGCCAGTGGTCTATATGAAGAATCTGTAATTATGATGTCCCATGAGTAGATAAATGCGAAAGTTGCCTTGTATTACTCACCTGTTCTGTGACGTTCTTGAAGTTTGTCCAGCGCTGGTACCAATCCTTCAATGGCCCATGCATTTGCTCATTTGGCTTCGTATTATAGTTCCTTGTGACCCCTTTGGCCTCTATATCATCAAATAGATGCATGATCATGTGGAGTTTTGACAAATTCCAATCTTCATCATCCTCCTCTGTTGCTGTGATATATTGCTACAATACTGTCAATTCATTTGCTAAAGTAGAGAGTTCTAAGACATACTTTCATGAATGCCGCTAGGGCTTGAACGGCACTTCTGCCCTCGCTGATGGTATTTGTTGTGTGAACCTCGAAGGCAGCGTACATGTCGACCTCGAGGTAAAGGCGTACACAGCGAACTAGAAGGTACCCAAGTGGAGAGGCTTCCTCTGTTAGGATGTTGTGCATAGCATATATTATCATCTGTAGTGAAATAATGTGTTAGCGAGATAGTTGCGCAAAATAATAACTATGAACCTTTGATATATCTTCATGGATGGAGCTGTCTGCAAACATAATACTCATTACTTGGTTCAGATGCTTCAAATTTCGCCATTGGGGAAATGCTGCAAAACTGATGACATAGTAGAAGAGGATGACATGTTAGATATTGGCATAATTGAGGGAAAGAGACGCACTTCTTATCAACTTGGGCTACTTTGCCCTTCCAAGGCTTGCCAAGTGCTTTTGCAGCTTGACCCAGTAATGACGAGACCAAAGACCACCATGGTTGTAGTGACACCGGTCATGCGATAGCGCTCGATGTACATCTGAATATTGGATGGCCCAGAATGAATTCTAAAAATAAGTTAATCTAAGAGCGTCGCAAATAGTAGACACAAAACTCACAGTAACATTACGAAGTCCATGTTGTTTGAGAAGCTCTTCTTGTTCTTCATGGGTGTCCATTTCCTGTGCAGCCAGTACAATATCCCGCAATGTGTCGGCAATTCGGCGGGTATATTGTTTTGACGTATCCCAAAGCTCGTCTCGAGGAATGAGACAGATAGGACATGGCCAAAGGCTCATGACCCCTCGAGTAAGTGACATAACGCACCTGTAAATTATCGTTAGGAAAAACATGATGTAGAATGATAGTACTTGCTGTTCCTCATAATCAGCTGACAAAATAAGTAGACAAAGGAAGAACCACCGATCAATGCCATCTAGGCAGGGGTACCATTGTTCTGTCCTTGATTTCGATGCCAACGAAGAGGTGATTTTCGCGAATGACTCATGCCAGACTGCATTTTTGAAGTTGACCCAGCTTGACTTTCCAGAATGCTCTTTATCTTCCATCACCTAATACAATACAACCCCACCATCAGCACCGACAATGAGACAAACATTGGGACATACAATTGGCAGCCATCCTACAATGTAACCACTACCTACACCTCATCCGTTCCGAATATCAGTAGGTAGATTTGCTAAGCTTGCGACAACTGGGGTATCCTTTCGCAGTACCGAATGACGATAATCTTGTTTTATCGGTGTATAGGATGAAAGCTAGTGGCTTTGCATCTTGTGGTAGTTGCGACTACAAATGCACAATGTTTCACATACATACAACAAGGATTGAAACTACAGGATACATACTTGCACATTCCAAAAGTCTTCCACAGTGAAAGGTTCATCTACAAAGCAGACGAAGGTTTGCCCATCAAACTTCGATAAGTGTTGTGCGTCGAACTGGAAGTGAGGGAAGAGGTTAGGGTCCCGAAGTAGGTCAGTAGCGAGATCCCAAAGATCTCTGTAGTATACATTGAATTCCTGCATCTTGCTGTCGTAGGGGACTGAGATCACATCTTTCATGAACTGCGCTTCGAGAAAGGTCAAATTCGGAGTCCATACAGCAAAAAATGAATGGAATCACCTTTGTGATCCGATGGGACGCTGCTTCCCACTTGCCGTGAATGTCTTTATGGTTCTTCAGCATAAAACTATCCTTTCTGAGAGAACATTGATGGCAAATGTTGATGAGACAGTCCATTTGTTTGTTGTTCAATCCGACCTCAAGAGCAAGCTCGGCTACTTCAAATTCAAGTCGAGATTGAAATGGGCACCAAGGGTGGTTATTGGGAGTGGTGTAAGCTGAAGATGTTGCAGGACAATGATGAAAATTGTTGAAGGGATAGATTTGCGCCTTGATGTCATCGAGTGAATAGGTGGGTGGTGCTGAAGCGTCCATAGGTTCAGGCTCAAAATGGTCTGAAAAATCAATAGCATTATTGATCATAGTTACAGTAATAGTGATCCAGAAATTGATTATCAATGAGATATGTACTAATAGACTCACCAGTCAAGCTGAAGTCCACATCAAAGTCATGTGCGATATCATGCTGGTAATCTCTCGCCTCGACTAGGGACAGATGAGTAAAAAAGACAAACATTGAAATGATAGAAAACATACTTGGTGTGTGAGCTAGGTTGAGCCGTCCATTGTCCATCAAGCACAGATTCGTTCAGTGCTGGAATACTAATCATTAGCTTTGAAATTGGGCATACAATCAAACACACCTTTTTCCTGCCAAATTGCATCTACAATGGCCTGATCACGGTGCCGCTTGTCTGCATTTGTCTCACAAGCTTTCCGATGAGTAGTCCAACCTCGCGGCTTGATGTCCTGACCGCATAAGTTGCAGAACCTTGTGTGGTTGGGGGCCATTCTTGATGATAGAACCAACACAGGATTATATACAGAGACCTGAAGGATGGAGAAACTGGAAAAAGATCACTGCTGGTGCTGATGGAATGATAATGGGAAGGGCACATCCATGATGTAATTTGAAACTCAGTCATAAGTATTATCTTACCATTTCAACGCGTAATCAGCATTGCCTTGTCATTTCAGGCAACATTTCAATGACATCTAAATAGGGACTCATTGCAACCGTTGGAGTGGGCTCTGCTATATGCGTGGGCTGGACTCTACAACGAAGTGATGCCTTCTACTGCTGCCGGAACTCTACCTAATGCCCTGCCTGCACTCCAAACACCGCCAAACAACCTCTATGACCTAACCCCTCCCTAGGGGTCCCCCGCTCCATGTGCCCCCCTTAAAAACGGCGACGACCGTGTCACACCTTTCTATGTCGTTTATATCTTCGTTTTCATTTTTATCTTCATCTTCGTTCTCGCTCTCTTCTTCGTCTATCTGCTGCTCTTCATTCTGAATTTCATCGACTTGGACGTTTTCTTCTTCTTGCACTAATTGTGCTTCTTTTTCTTTCTGCTCTTCCCACAACTTCGTGCCCTCCCTCGGTGTAAACGCTCTCAACCATCTTGCGTGGAACTCGCTTGATAGCGGTTCTCCTTGTATGGTCTCCAAACGGTACGAATTGCGTATCCTTTCAGTAATCCGATGAGGATGTGACCATTTCGGCAATAGTTTTCGTTTTGCTTCGAGTGTGTTGTGCGCACTGCTATAATAAAATTGAACGAGTTGTCCTTTCATAAAGATCACTTCCCTTGGTGAGCGTGATAGTACACATTTGTCGAATGCCGCTTTCCTCTTGATAGCGTGCTGTACCGTAGCTTCGTATCTGTCTAGGCATTGCTGTGCCACGTACGCCATGTGTATGTTGGCATCTGATATTTGTAGTGCTGACGCGCTGTTAGCTATGTCTGTCCTTGGAGTATTGATCACCTGTCCCAGCAAAAGTTCTTTTGGCGAGAACTTCAGAGCCGGTGTAGAAACAACAATACAGAGAGGAACAAATAATGCTCCTAGCTGTATCTATAATAGTTGAAGGTCGTGCGTTGCCTAGCCTGCGTTACTTGAGGAGACAAGTGCGTTTGACCCTAAAGGGGAAGCGAGTGCAGCCAAGATCTAGAGGTACGCGCTTCAGCGAAGCGCGAGAAAGCGCAGGTGCGCGCAAGGCGCGGGAACACGCGCGCGTATTAGCGCGAAGCGCGGGAAAGCGCGCGCGCGTATGCGGAAAATGATAAAGACTAGACTCAAGTGATAATATAATGCAAGAAAAGAGAAGGGAGATGCGAAGTATAGACAAATAGACTTCTACTATATTCTGCTAAGTAGTAAGTAAGTGATAACTAGTAATTGGGAGGTAAAAGTAAGGTAAGTAATAGTATGTACTGCTGGCGCTTATATAGTGCGCCTAAGCGCGGTCATGCAGAGCCGAAGTGCTACCGAGTAGGTATGTAAGGATATATATGGGTGAGAGTCCATGATAAAAATAAAGGTGGAACACTATGCTAATAAAGGAAATGGAAATATACGCACTAGGGAGCTTGGTGGACAGTGGATGGATGCATCTGGATGGCTGGCGCTATAGGGCACGCAAGCGCGGGAACGCGCGCGCGCATATACATCGCGAAGCACGGGAATGGTGTGCGCATGGCGCGCGTTGCGCGGGAAAGCTGCGCCTCATATAGGAATTGCTGTGGACAGTACACAGAGTGGTGCTGCAAGTTGGTGCTGTATACTCCCTTAGTGGAAACTGCCATATCATGCCATGAGAGGCATGAGTCTCTACACCGGCAAGATTCTATAATTCAAGGCCGCGACTGCTTCCTCTAGGTGCTTTGGCCAACTATTTGGCAAGGTGTCCCACGATATTGCTTCGTATTCATCTTCGCCCAGGTTTGGGGCGCATAGACGCTTGAGTACGTGCAATAGGATTTTGTTTGTGCCTTCTACAAGTCCATTGACCCATGGTGAGTAAGCTGCTACGACGTGTGTTTTACATGACCACTTAGCACAATATTCTCGAACTTCCGTGTTATTAAAGTGCTTCCCTCCGTCGCTCATGAATGTTTCCGATGACGTAAAGTTCTGGAAGATTTGCAATATGCTGTCTATCATTGTGCGTGCTGTACCGGAGGATTTATATTTGAAGACCCATACATGCTGCGAGAACATGTCCAAGTAGACGCCTAAAGTGTTGTATCCTTGGGCTTTGGGAAGTGTTAGGTAGTCGCCAACGAGGAGCTCGAAAGGATGTCTGTGCATTATAGGTTCTAATAGTGAGTGCAAATGTTGTGATCCGAAGTTTTTACACTTAGCGCAATTTGTTATAGCTTTCATGATCAATGCGTCGAGTTTGGGGCTGCATATTTGGTCCATGAGTGCTATTTTGATGGTGTCTCTCCCCCAATGTCCCATCTGTTCATGTTGCGTTGTTGCCATTTGCTCAGCTTCTTCCTGGGTAACACACTCTGTCCTGCTTCAAGCTCTAACTGTCATTCCTCCGGGCAACCTCCATAGTTTCCCGTTTTCAATTAGGTACTCCGATGCTCGATGGTGCGCACATTTACGATCTCTTAATGGCTTGTTTGAGTTGACCTGTGCTATTGACTCTATAACTTCTAGGAAAATTGGTTCGTTAGTAAAATGTTTGAGGAGACTTTTCACCATTTGTTCGTCTATCGTAGAGGTTAGTAGAATATCATTAATCAAACCTGTTTCCGTTTCCCAGTCCTCACTGACTGTCCAAGTACTCCCATCTCGTAGTCCTGCATCCCGCGGCTGACCCTCCCATTGCCTACTAAGGCCATCTGCTATGACGTTTAGCTTACCTGGTACGTGTCGCACATCTATTATATTGTGCGCTAAGATTCCGTCCCGCCATCGAGCATGTGCCGCATTGAGATGGTCACTTAGTAATATGTCCCTTAGAGCTTGACAATCAGTCTCAATTTCTATCGGGAAGCCCCATACGACATCTGAAAACTTGTCCAGTCTGAACTTCAACACCATGAACTCCAATATAAAAGGTTTGTACTTTTGTTCTGTGGTTGATGTCCATTTTGACGCAAACGCAATGCGTAGTAGGCGCTCTATCCATTTTCCCGATGGTTGTTGCATACGTGTCCGTTGAGACAGTACTGCCGCTAATCCTTCCTGGCAACCGTCTGATGTGACAACGAATGGTGATCTGTCGTACTTTGGTGCTTGTAGGATCGGGCATGTTACTAACGCGGCTTTCAGGTCTAGGAATGCTTTGGTATGCTCTTGCGTCCACTTGTCGTCGAGTTTGTGGCCTCTTAAGATGTGTCGATACGTATTTTTGGTATATGGATGCATTAACGGTGCTTCTTTTATTAGGTTGCGCGATGGTCCTTCTCATTTTGCGTATCCAAGCACTAAGTCCCTAAAATGACTGGTTAGTCCTAAAAATGACTCTAAGTTACGTGTGTCTGCTGGCCTTTCCCAGTTTACGATAGCAGTTAGTTTTTCTAGATCAGGTTGAATTCCTTTCGGACCTACCGTTGCTCCTGTGAAAGTTGTTTCTGACATGAAAAGTCGACATTTCGTAGGTGATAATGATAATTTCTGGTCTCTGCAACATTGAAAAATGCGCTCTAGTTTCTCAAACATGTCGTCGAATGTATCGCCTGCACTTCCTCCATTGTCTATGAAGATTTCCATGGTTGTATCGGCGATTAAGTCATGTAAATGGGTGGCTGTTACTTCGCAGAACGTGGTGGGCGCTCCAGTGAGTCCCATCGGCATGCGCTTATACCAAAAATAACCGCGTCCTTCTACATAGAAGGCCGTGTAAGGCCTGGACTCTTCTGGAACTTCGACAGCATAGAACCCGGACGCAAAATAAAATACTGACACGTACTTATGACCACTTAGCCTTAATTGTTTGGCTCGTATGTCCCCTTGTGGCATTGGCGCTATCACGGTATGTCTGTTAACTTCATTAAAGTTCTGACAGATTCTCCATTTCTGCGGCTTATCGTCTGCTACTTCTCGAGGTGCTTCTTGGACTTCACATTCCGGTAAGGTAAATGCTGGCTGCTGTCTGTGTTTCGCGTATTGTTCATTGACTTTGTATTGTAGCTCTTCCAGCGTAAGTCTGCCTTGTTCATGTGCCTTCTGCGCTAACACTGTAGTGGCGCAGCATTTGACCCGTTCCACTGGCGCTTTCTCGATTATCCCTGCTGCCAATATTTCGTCGATTCAGCCATGTAGGAACTTGGCTTGCGGTGGTGTGAGGGCTCGTTGACGAATGTGTAAGTTGAACATGGCGTTTTCTGGTATGTTCAGCCGATGTTGAGCTCCTGGGATTGGGAGGACTTCTGAAAGTGAGCACGCAAATATATCTGCATATCTTTCTACTAAGCTTTCGACTCGTTTGCGTTCTTCCTCTGTCAGTTCCTTCCCATACTGTACTGCCTTCATGACATATGCTACTCGTTTCGGGTTTGTCGGATTCGTCGTCCTCGTGAAGACTGCAGTTTCATCTTTGTCATCTGATGTGACGCAGATTGGGATGTGTGTTCCTGTAGGGATCTTCTCTTCTCTCTGTGCCGTGTCCTCTGCTTGACTTTGATTATAGATCATCTTCGACCCTCCCTCTCCTGTTATATGTACTACGTCGGTTTCGTATTCATGTATCGCCCAAAACATGTGCAGTAGCGGTTTTCCGAACAGGAATCTCCATCCTCCTCCACTTTCGAATACTTCAAACTCTCCTTGCATCTTGACTCCTATTATGACTTCACCTCTCCATACGGCTCTGGAGGGTACTATTGTGCTGTTCGCCATGCGTAATCTTTTTGTTGACGCTCCCCAACTTCCTAACCGATGTTTTATTAGCTCGAATTCTGTTGCGCACATGGCGTTGACCATGGCGCCCTCGTCGAAGAGTGCTTTGATTCATATAGTTTCTCCTTGTGCTCCCTTGAGCGAGACGTACTGCATGAACAGTTGGCATTTACGGTGGGTTTCCTCATTGTCTGTCAAGTACAATTCAACAATGTCATATTGTTCACTAGATTGAGACTGCATAGCGACATATTCTGTATGACTTGGATTCTCGACGGAGGTGTGATGCTTGTCCTTGTGTGCCTCCTCTTGGCACGCGAGGACTGATTGTTCCTTGAACTGAGGTATTGTGCGCGTTAGGGTCGTTCGGCTGTCCTCTATGCCAATGACCCTTGGCCTTTTCCCTGCTCTGCTACCTCTGGTGTGAAGACTTCTTCAAACACATAGTTAACTTGCGGAGCCATTGCTCTATTGAATGCTCCTAGCGTTCTGGTACATATCCCTCACTATATTGTTTCGTTCTTCGGCAGCTGCGCATCGGGTGGTAACTGGCACTCTGGGCTTATGTGTCCGTGCACTCTGCACCGGAAGCACTCTCCAGAGCATATTTGCGCTGTGCCCGGCGTTAGTGGGAATGGTGTGTTCTCCATGCACCTTGCTCTTTCTCCCCATCTTACTGCCCATTGTCTCCGTTGCTCGTTGTAGGCTGCTTGACCCACGTCTGAGTCTACATGCTGCGGCAGCTCGTTGATGCGAGCTCTTAAGAGGTCTTGTTCTTCTTGTGTAGGTGCATTTCGTACTGCTCTTTGTCCTGGCTGCATTTGACCGGCTGCCATGTAGCGTACTTGTCTTCTGGTGACCTGCGTTTGTTGCATGGTAGGACTTCCTGTGTTTACTCTCGTCTGCAGCATCATTGCTCCCATTGTTCTCATAGGATTATTCGTTCCAAGTGTTGCCTGCTGCATCTGTAGGCGTAGCACTTCTACTGGGTCGTTCCTCTGGCTTTCTAGACGCGCAATGCGCGCGTTTTGCGATCTTTCTACTTCTTTTCTCTCTTTCTCACGTTTAGCCTTGTCTTGCAGGATATCCACATTGACACCTGCGATTTCCGATAAGAACATATTCCAGTCGGCTGGCGCAGGTGTTGTGAGGTCTCGTAGAACTCGCGGGAGCACATCTCGGACCTGGTGTATTAGAACTGGTGCATTTGCTACGCCTGCATCTTGTACTAATGTCGTGAGCTGGTTATGGAAGTGGATGTGGGACCAGGTGGTGATTTTGGCTAATGTGAGGCGTTCTCCTACATCTTCCTCTTTCAACTGTAATGCTAATAACTCTTTCTGATATTCGAGTTGAGTTTTTCCTGCTACTGTTATTGCCGGCCACTTTGTTTCGAAGGCTGCTTTAACGTTTCTCCATGTTGCCTTATGTTGTGCGTCGAGGTTCGTCCACCAGTGGTCCGCTTGTGATCCTGCTGAGATTAATGCAGCAAATAGTGCTACTTTGACGGCTTTGTCTGCGATCTGGTTAACTAGAAAGTATGCTTCCGTGCTTCGCAGGAAGTTTTGCGCATTTTCACTTTCTTTCCCATGGAACAGTGCGGGTAATGGTACGCCCGTCATGACCTTGGCTGGTTTATTCAGTACGGGTGGGAGGGCGACGACTGGTATGTGTTTAGGAGACTGAGGGTGGAAGATTGACGTGGAGGGGTCTGGTGCTCCTGGTAAGGACTCTTCGTCATCTGCTAGCTGCTGTATGACCTCGTGTTCTGATTCCTCGTGTTCGTGTTCTAGCGCTCGTTGGTTGATTTCTGGAGTGTCTAAGGGCGATGAATCTGAGGATGGGAATGTGGTATTGGAGAGTTTGATGTAACTGGCTGTTTTCTTTATAAAGTGTCCTTTCTTGTCTCTAGGTGGTGGTTCTCGTGGGGGATTCAGTTTGACTGTGGTTGAGGGTGTTAGTGAAAGAACCGGGTTTTTATACTTGTTGAAGGCTATGCTTGGTGCATTCTCCTCGTGTTCTGACACGAGGTGCGACATTCTCTGGGCTTGGTTTGACTCTATTGCTCTGGTTCTGCTCTATGCTCTATGCTCTATGCTCGGTGCTCTGCTCTATGCTCTTGAAAATGAAAAGAAAGGGAAGAAATTGGGACACTCTCGCTCTGTTCACCAGTTGGAGTGGGCTCTGCTATATGCGTGGGCTGGACTCTACAATGAAGTGATGCCTTCTACTGCTGCCGGAACTCTACCTAATGCCCTGCCTGCACTCCAAACACCGCCAAACAACCTCTATGACCTAACCCCTCCCTAGGGGTCCCCCGCTCCACCGTTTTCGCAAATTTGCAACAATCGCTATATCTTTCATCCCAGACTCATCACGTTCTCTACCGCATAACATTCACTAAAAAGCTAAACTCTACAGTGCACCAATATCCTACAAGCGGTCCCCACACCTCTTTTGCACTCGCAAATCCCCCTCAGACTTACAGTATACATGTCCTGGCGGGGGTATCTTGCCTAAAACAGCTGTGGATATAGAAGTAGTTGTAGTTGCGAGAGCTTTGGAGGAAGGCAGAAGCTCAGAGTTTGGGGAAGAAGCTGTAGTAGGACAACTAATAGATGGGGCCATGATGGTACTGGGTGTCCTCCCCTTTGCACGCTTCCGAGTTGGTGGTGGCACAATGTCGTTCACGTGCATCGATAGACTGGTCTAGGGAACCAGCCTCAAGATACATATCTCAGCCATTAATGCATCAAGTTAAAAAATACAGATAAGTAATCTATGGAATGTAATACAAATCCAGTAAAATCAATACTGGTCAACCGTACTAGTTCAAACAAAGGTGCCTTCCAGAAATATGGCGTGCAACATCTGCATATCATGTTCGGGCATGATCAACTGTCCATCTTCCACTCCATCAGGTCTCCAGAGACATTCTCCTCGATATACATTCATTGGGTATCGGGCTTCACCTATCGTTCTGGACCAGTCGAAATCCATCAACATGAATCCAGGGCTGCAGTCCTTTTTTACCATAATATTTGTGTCCTGGATGTCTCCATGAACATAACCTCCTTGATGAAGAGACTGGAGTTCCGTAGCGAGGGCATCGTGATGAGGGTAAGGAATGGTAATTTCCTGAAGATGACAGTAATCATCCATGATCATCTCCATCACAACCATGTACCATCCACCTGGTAGCTGTTCGAAGCCCAGAAGTGCTGGAGCGAAGCCATCCGAAGCAAATCATTGATGTACTTCCTTAGAGTAGCAACGGACAAACTTGATGCAGAGCTTCTTGTCATCGGTCATCTTGACAGCGGAAAAGAGTAGTCTGGACTGATCCATTTGATTGTAGTATGTGAAATCACACGTCAACAATGTCTCCATACAAGTGAAAGAATACGGGTATGGAAACATGGGATCTTGAAATTTAGAGTCCAGAAATTCGAGGTCTTGATCGGGAGAAGGGGATGTCATGCCCTGGTAACATGCCAAGAGGGACCGAAGAGCTTTCCTGAACGCACCAATGTGCCGAGCGACCATCACACACATTTTGCTATCAGTGGGGTGATGAAAGAGAGGTAAAGCAGTCAAAATCACCTGCATGTTTGGACGAGTACTCCAAACAGCAGCTGAGAAATCGATGTGCGGACCTGTTGAAGTTGTGATCAGTGCATCGCGAGTTGTGAAATACTGCAAACCTACCAAATAGAGTGATTGTTATACAGGGGAACCTAAATGTGGGCTTGGCCTTCGTGAAAGACTCAGTAGAATGTATATAATATAGAATGGTTTGCATGTGGGGTTCGGTCACCATGGACCCTAACTCGTTCTTAACTTTGGTGATTGCGTAATGGAAACCTTTGTACTGTATGTCGCCGTCAGTGACATAGGTGGTGCCACTAATTGTCATGGCCATAATGTTGATATTGTGCACTTGGAGGACTTCATGAAATTTGTAAGCTTGTGCTTTCTCGTCCGTGAAGAAGCCAGAGATAACCACCGACAATGTCATGGCCAACTTGTTATCATCTGGTGTTGGCTCGATATTTTTGCAGTTGTCCATAAATGTGCCAAGGATTGAATGAAGTAGCGTGCAGGGTATAGTATGTGCATTCTCAGGGGGTCAATCCCAGTGAACGAACTGGTCCGGATTTTTTTGTATGCCTTCGAATTCAGAAGGTTGTCCATACCTGGGAGGAGGCTCCTGGGGAAGGTTGTAATTTCCACAAAGTTGCTTAAACAGGACTGCAGAAGGTGACAGTCACAAATGGCTGCGGTTGCCATCTGGGAGGCAGCCGTCAGCTCAGTCGCCATGTCAAAATGATATTGACCGATAACTCACAAGGAAGTCGTGGTTCGACAACGATATGCAGGTGCTTATACTGAGGACTGTCAAAAAACTTGAACATTCCATTCACAGTCAATAATACTTTCTGTGGATCTAGTTCGAGCTCATTGACAGTATGCTCTAAGGAGTCGTTGACAGGCAGGTCGACCTTCCAAAGTATCAGATCATCAACATCTGATTGTAGGTATCACTGTATCAAATCACTCACCTTCCATAGCTGGAGAACATCTGCATCCAGGTCGCAAAATGCAGTTTTCTTTTTCTTGATCAACTCTTGCAAGTTATTAACAGTGTCCATCAATGCAATCTTGACCGTGAATATGTTCTCACAGTGGTCGCCTAATACTAGGCAGTTGAGATTGATCAACGAGTGGCCGGCTGAGTGAGAAACAACTTGATCACACTGCAATCAGTATGGATGAAAGAGAGGCAATATTGACAGACAACTCACCAGCAGGTAATGGCTGGACAAGAATATGCAGGTGCTTGGGCTGAGGAGGACTGTCAAAAACCTCATACATTGCATCCACAGCTGATAATAGTTGCTGCTGGTCTAGCTTGATATTGTTGACATTATGCTTGAGGGTGTTGTCGACAAGCAGGTCGACCTTCCAAAGTATCAGACTGTCAGCATCTGATTGTAGGTATCACTGTATCAAATCACTCACCTTCCATAGCTGGAGAGCATCTGCATCCAGGTCGCGAAATGCAGTTTTCTTTTCCTTGATCAACTCTTTCAGGTCACTGACGGTCTTCGTTGACACAATCTTGACCTTGAATATCTGCCTGGGGTGTTCGCCCAGTAGTAAGCAGAGGAGGCTGAATGTTTTGGTCCTCACTGGCGGCATTGGGAACAAGAGTAGGTGGCGGGGTGGTTGTGAGTGTGATGAGTTCAATATATGGAGGTGGGCAATCTGACTTTGAAATGGCCGGTCTGGCGTGAACTTATCCGTGATCACCAAGGCCTTCAGATGAGATGAAATTTGTGTTGAGGATGCCGATCTGATGTTGGGTTGAACTTGTTACTTACTTAATCATCACATACTACAGTGACCTATCTCCGTATAATACAAGGGAATGGATGTGCATAATATCCCATATGATATGGGCCAGCGGACCATGGGCCCATGATAACAATATTCTCAACTATGACGGATGGGCCGGGAGGCAAATTATTCCCGATGGAGGCGGGTGGGCCCATGCAGGGAATATATAGAGTAGATGAGTGGGCCGATGTAAATGAATATTAGGTAGACGGGTGGGCCAAGGTAGCTGGATATTATGCAGATGGGTGTATTAAGGTAGATGTGTATGAGATAGATGGGTAGGTACTTGTTATCACATTCACGGGTGGGCCCAGACACATATTAAATTAGATGGGTGGGCCGAGGGTATTATAAAATATTGTATTATACGGGTGGGCCCAGACGCATATTAATTAGACCGGTGGGCCGAGGGTGTTGTATGGGATGTTGTATTAGACCGGTGGGCCGAGGGTGGTATACAATATAGATGGGTGGGCCCATGTGTATCATAATTGTAGACATGATGGAGCTGAGGTAGTTGTACATCAACCAAATCAGAGGAGGTAATAAATCAAAGTTACCAAGTTCCCGGAGCATCAGGTGATCTCCTGACATGGCAGTGCGAAGCTTGTGTTGCCCAACGAGACGCCAAGTTCCGGCCACCAGAATTTGAGTCAACTGTACTGAGTTCCGAGTTCCGGGACCCGGAACTCACCACATAAGTTGGTTAATACTTTTTGATGGTGCACAGGTTGTCTTGCAGAATGTGGAATCCAGGGTGTGAAGCTTGTGTTGCCCTATGAGAAGCCAAGTTCCGACCACCAGAATTGGAGTCAACTGTACCGAGTTCCAGGACCCGGAACTCAACACATAATTTAGTTAATACTTTCCGTGTTAAATGGCCAACCGAAGTTGAGATTTTTCTGAAGAGAGCAGCAGGTGCTCTCTTGACATGGCCTCTGATGGTGCTTAGGTTGTCTTGCAGAATGTGGAATCCGCGGTGCGAAGCTTGTGTTGCCCTACGAGAAGCCAAGTTCCGACCACCAAAATGTGAGTCAACCGTACTCAGAGGAGGTAATAAATCAAAGTTACCGAGTTCCCGGAGCAGCAGGTGATCTCCTGACATGGCTGTGCGAAGCTTGTGTTGCCCTATGAGACTCCAAATTCCGACCACCCAAATATGGGTCAACCGTACCGACCTCTGAGTTCCGGGACCCGGGAGTCGACAAATGAATATCTGATGACCAGCGAGTCAACCTTACTCAGAGGAGGTAATAAATCACAGTTACCGAGTTCCCGGAGCAGCAGGTGATCTCCTGATATGGCAGTACGAAGCTTGTGTTGCCCTACGAGACGCCAAATTCCAACCACCGAAATATGGGTCAACCGTACCGACTTCCGAGTACCGGGACCCGGGAGTCGACAAATGAATATCTGATGACCAGCACACTTCCAATCAGGTAGTATTTCATTGAGCAATGGATAATAATACATCTTTGACAGCAGCCAAAATTATCCATGGCTCCCTTATCTGATCCTCTCTATCTCCACCCCCTATAACACCAAAGTCCGGACATCCAGCATTCAGTGTCTGATTTCCCAAGATTAACATCCAGCATGAACGGTTCTTCCCCTTCCCCTCCTGATAGCATAAACATCTGGTGCACTTGGGCCCTGACTGTGACTTATGAAGCAGGGGAATATACTGAACAGAAATTCAAGGCAGAGAAGACTGGAGGAGGCCCAGTCATACCTTCCCCCAACCTAGACACTGATCTGGTGATGGCGTGCGATCGCTTGGCTGATGTACTCATAAAGGCATCTAAAAATCCCAGTGGGTCTTCCTGCAGATTCGGAAAATTCTATTTATCATTCAAATTCCTGCATGACAGTTCAGATGCAGATGGATATTGCAAGATATAGCAAATTGATCTCCCCGAAGGACACCGGGCATAATGAACATAAAGAGGCGAGGTTGCTTGAGAGGTGTCCTCCTGGCCATGAAGGCAAAAGGTTGGTCGATGAACCTGCAATAATTCTTGATGCATCCGGTGCCATCATTGCATGGTATCTCCCAGACGCCCTGACAGACACCACCCAGGTGTGTAATATACATTGTTACTCGATGGATATCGAATATTAATGGAACCTACAGAAGGAAATCAGGGAGGCCACCTATTTGCTCTCTCCAAGCCTCGAAAAAAGTGTAAGGGCTGATGGCAATTGGCGAACTAATCAAAGGTTGTTCAACTGGGGCTCGGAAGATGTTGGAGCAACTCCCGGATGCATCAATCTATCTCCGGCATGGTTTCAACAGGGACACGAGGTAGGATCTGATGAGATGGTGATTCCGGCAGTCATACTTACCAATCCCAAAGAATGTGTCCGATCCGGAGGTATCTGCATCATTGAAGGGACCTTCCTGCGAGAATATCCTCAAAGCCATTGCAAGGCCAGCAGCCATTGCGTCCGCGGCACTCAGAGTCATGCATCCTGAGCAGTACTGGGCAGGGTTGAGAACCTTGTCAAACCTTGGAAATATAGCAGTAAGCAAGGATCTGCCACAGATGCCGGAGGCCCTGCAGTACTGGGCATCCGTGTTTAACACCCTCTCCATCATTTCCAATCGGGAAACCCCCCATCATCGAGACCACATGTCCATTGCTGAATGCTTCGACATTCTCACCACCATGGGGGACTATTCTAATGCTCAGATGACAATGCCAAACCTTCAGCTGGAGTTCAAGTACAATTCCGGCTGTATGATTGCATTTTCTGGAAAGATTGTGAGACATGGAGTGTATGATGTGGAAGGGGATCGGATTGCTTGGGCATGGTATATGAGGGATGCTGTTCATATTTATGCTGGTGTTCCATCATGTGGATGGGCTAGTGTGGATGGTGCATACAGCGTGTGAAAGATCAAACAAAGAGCAAGCATTGTGACCTATATACATTCCAACAAATGAATACCATGTACCAATTGTGATCCGGACCTCAATACTCAATTTTGAGCATTTCCCAAGTGATATGTGGGACTAAATAATTTGGATGCAAGCCTTGGTATTCGATAATTGGAACTCGGGACTTGACATATGGGAGTCCTGAGTGCCGGGGTACTTAGTCCCGACACCCGGACCTCAGCACGTGATATTTGAGACTGGGGGAAGATGTATAAATACGCTCGAATTAACATTTGTTATTGCCATACACATTTAACAAAACCCTGAACCCCGACATTGTGGACTCCGGACTCGACACTGTTCTGAATACCGAGTTCCGGACGCCCAGGTCCTGAGTCCCAAATTTTGGAGGTCGGGGTTCGGAGACCCGGAGCTCGGCAACTGTGTTGGGTGTCAGGGTATCCAGACCATTGGAGATAGCATGTGTCAGTATTTTGCGTTTCATGGTTTATGTTGGGTGAATATGGAATCGGGGATCAGGGACTCGGTATTCAGAACAGTGTCAAGTCCTAGGTCACGAGCTCCGAGTCCCGAGTGCCGAACCCCGAGTCCCGAGTCCCGAATTTTGGAGGTCGGGGTTCGGTGACCCGGAGCTCGGCAACTGTGTTGGGTGTCAGGGTACTCGGAGCATTGGAGATAGCATTTGTCAGTATTTTAAGTTTCATGGTTTATGTTTCGTGATTATGGAATCAGGTGTCAGGGACTCGGTATTCAGAACAGTGTTGAGTCCCAGGTCATGAGCTCCGAGTCCCAAGTCCCGAGTCCCGAAACCCACACCCAGCAGTTGCCGAGCTCCGGGTCGCCGAACCCCGACCTCCGAAAGTTGGGACTCGGGACTCGGGGTTCGGCACTCGGGACTCGGAGCTCGTGACCTGGGACTTGACACTGTTCTGAATACCGAGTCCCTGATCCCCGATTCCATATTCACCCAACATAAACCATGAAACGCAAAATACTGACACATGCTATCTCCAATGGTCTGGATACCCTGACACCCAACACAGTTGCCGAGCTCCGGGTCTCCGAGCCCCGACCTCTGAAATTCGGGACTCGGGACCTGGGCGTCCGGGACTCGAATGTGAGATTTTTGAATGCATAGAATATGTTACATCTTGTATACAATGAAGAGTGAATGGGACTACACTCCTTTGCCTTTCCTCAATTTCTCTAACATGTCAGTGTACATCTTCACCTCTCCCATCTTAGCTTCGATGCCCTGATCTTGCTCCTCCAGCAATGCTTCCATGCGTTCTTTGATGAATCTCAGTCCCATGAGTGGTGGAGTCGAAGTGTTTTTCAACTTCTCTGGAAGTACCAAAGCATCATCCTCAACATTAAGCTGAAACAGATAAGTCATCAATCAAGGTAATTCAGCTGACATCTTACCGCCCAATACTGGTAGTGAGAGATGCAGGAAGCCATTATTTCATCCCACTGCCATGGTTGATCAGGGATTGTGGTGTTTCCCATCCACCATGGACATGTATATGCGAACACAATCCGGGACGGATGTCCTGCAATTGGCTCATCATGAAATGAAAGGAGGTGGAATGAAAAGACATCGTCCGGAACCGTGTTCCAGGTCAGCATGGGATACAACTTAAGGATATAAGCGACAGGGACCGGAAGAACCAACACGATATTCTGTGAAGCGGAGTACTGCAGGAGTGGTGTGACAAATGTCTGCTCAAATTCTTAGCATTGACCAACAAAGTCATCAGGGCAGTGGTAATATACATTCATCTCCCATTGCAGCCCGCTTTAAAATACTTGATCCGGTCAGCAGATAGACCATTGTTGGCAGCTTCCGTCTGATATTGAGAGATGATTGCACGGATGTGCGATCCAGCCATTGCCAAT